CCATGCTATGTCGGTCCAGTGGCGCCTCAGTACTACTTTGATAGCTGTCGGGGCGTTTGAACGCCGACCCTCCCGCTCGACGACGAATTTGGGCAAGGTTGGTAAAGTGATTGATCGGTTATGGTGGAAAGGAGGGGAGGGGGCGTGCCGAGGACGAAAATTTGGGAGGTGTCGCATCTGGCACAGTTCCTCCTCGAATTCAAGACGTGCTCTGACTAGGGAGCCCTCGTCAAGCGCGCTATGATCAATTCATTCGCTGGTAGCGCACGTGAATGTTACGAAGGGGCGAATCGCAAAGTATGAACGCATCCCAAGTTGTACGTAGACAGAGAACGCGCAAGAAAACTTTGACTTTGCCTTCGTCCCTCCCAGCGGCTACTAACTGAAAAAATAACTTGGTTAGTGATAGCCGAAAATACTTACTGGTTTCGAAGCGGTCATGGGAGTAGGTTTCATGCCATCGGACTGAAAAAGAAAGGGATAAAAGTTCACACTTCACTGCCACCCTTAAATCTCGAGAGCTCATCCACGTCGATCAACCATGGAACGAGAAGCATCTAGTCTTCTCTTTCACGCGCAGCCCTCCTCTATTTCTGAGTCAGGGAGAGGCGAACCAACTAAAAATGCCCGACAGGGCCCGACTCCGCCCACATGGTTGGCTGTGATTGGTCTGCGATTCCGGAGCTTCGCTGGTGATAGGAGGGAACTCTTGGCTTTTCCGAAAAATGTGAAGGTGCGGCTGTACTTATGGCGTTCCTCACCATCGTGTGAGACCTTTTGCATTGGGAAACCAAGGCAAAAACCGCTACTCGATGATGAGCCCTGGACTATGTTCAAGCAATCTTAAAAGGGAGGAGAACACCAACTAGGAATGCACCACGAGGCCGGACTCCATCCACCCTTCCAAATCCTAAAACCTGCAAAATTGTACACTCACAATGCAGCATTCAGTACACTTGGGAGCATGATCAACGTCGAAAAATTGCTTTCCAGCCGGTATCTCCTTATTGCATTTCTTGCAGTTCACCTGAAAAACTCTCCATTGTTCTCGAGAACTTTGGACGGTCAAAAATTGGATAACAGTTGAAATTTAGGTAGTCCAACTCCTCGGAAAGGCCCACTGACAGGGCGGGTCCTTGGCCATCCGTCATTGCTACGTCACAGGGTTCCAAGCCAATAAGCACGCTGGCAAGCAGCCGAATGGCAAACAACTCGAGAGGGGGAAGCCCTAGTGTCAGAGGATGGATGGTTACCAGCTCTGAGACCATACACCCTTGATCGGTGCGGAAGATGGGGGTGTCAGGGAGCCGTGTTCGGAGCGACGCCATTTCGTTCTTCACCAATTGTTGGGGCGTGTAAGCGACAATAATTGGTGGAAAACGGGCTGGCGCCGCCCCGAACCCAGCACTTGACATCCGCAGTGAACAAGACTGGGTAAGCAAGCTGAGAAGCAAAATTTAAAGCGAGGCAGGCTCATTTTGTAAATACCAACGAAACTTATTAGATCCCGCTTGCCATAGGTTGCCGAAAATGTCATCTAGTTCACCCTAGAAGGGTGCTGAGATAATTGCACCGAAGGCATAATTCAAAGCAAGGAGCGCGCCCATTTGTAAACACAAGCAATTATTACATTCCGCTTTGCCAAAATGTGCATCCAGTTCACCTCTAGAAGACGCCCTGAGATTTTAGCATCAGCGCCCATGCCCCCTCTCCGCGCAAAAGAATCCATTTGCGCAGTGCATTTGACTTCCACTCGAAATGCACTTGCGTCTGCTGAGTTAACGAAGCCACAATGCAGGGCATTACCGGTTTTGAGGCGGTCCTCGGAGTGGCTTTAGTGCCATCAGCCTAAAAAGAGAAGAGTTAAATAGAAGAACCAAAGCGCCCATCATCAATCGGAGTCGCATTCCGCTATAATCGGATGGCCAGGGAAACGGGCGGAGACTCATGAGCACTGCGCCATCCTCACTGGTACTTGCCTTCCTCTGATATTGCTGGAGAGCCAAAAGTCCGAAAGCTAGCCATGGAATCCCTATAAGGCTTATGACTCTCCGCCCATCCTGGCTACGTCGCGGATCTGCGCTCTGAGGAGCTTCGGCCTCTGCTCTGTCTTGTTTCACCGCTAACCGAAACTTGACGCACTGCTCGTCGCCAGGTACGACTGCGTTCGAGCGCTATTGTAAGATGGGAATGGAGGATCATTTCGCTTTCGTAACTCGGCCCTTTCCCCTCCCTCCACCTCCACCCCCATGCGATCAACCAATGTCATATGATGAGAGAACCTAAGGCAGTCAATGACCAGGACTGCTATAGTATGAGCCTAAGATATGAACAAGTGATCGAGACCCCACCGCAAACGTTGGATGCGAGGGGGGCGGGGTAGCTTATGTAGGTCGCTAAGCCAGTAGGGGTTTATCAGGAGTATGTTTCACGTCGCGAAACTGACGCGATAACAAACGGCGTTTCCTCAACGAAGGCGCTTCTGACGGTCGCGGGACACCAATGACGCTGTCTTCAGTCCTCGCGGTCATTTAACGGTCTCCTCTAACGAAGCAACCACCCTGGAAAAAAAACTATCAGAGTGAGAATAACTCACCGCAACGCAATCCCTGCACTTTGGTTTATGGTTAACAGTGAAGAATGGCGTGCCTGCCGGAATCGTCAAATTGCATTTTTGGCAGGGTACCTGCGTTTTTTACATTATTTCAAGATTTTGTGAAGGGACAAAACTTATTTGCAGAACGTCAAGCCATGTGTTGCTAGAGCAGATGGCCAAAAAAACAAGAACAGTTGGCGCCGTTCGGCTTGGGATGGGTACTTTGTATCTTCCTTGTTACTTTCTTACTAGTTCAGGTCAAGTAAGAGTTTACTTCTTTGATGAGACCTGTAAACTCCAGTAAAACAGTGAGGTGGTCGAAATAAGCTTGTTGCCTACGAGACAGGTGACAGTTTGGCAGTCCTTCAAAAAGGTGACCTGTGCAGGTCTAACTACCATTTGGTTGCCCCCACGCGGAGCCGAAAATGCGCCAGTAATTCGTCCAATAGCCTACTTTCTTTGACTAAGGCATCACTTGCCTAGTAACCATGAGTGCTAATTGAATGGTTTCTGGCCGTGCGTTAGTGGGAAGTTGAGATGGGCATGCCATACAAGCGAAGGAGGAAAAGAGGAACCAAGCCAGAACGTAAGGATACGGTAAAATACGGGAGGGGCATCGAACTGTACGATTAGCATTGCTACGATTGTTTACGAATCGATTTCGCCGTTCTCTTGTTTTCCACATCAATTGGATAAAAAAAATTATATCGCAGCTACCACTCAGGAGCGCTAAACAACCATCTCGGGCTCTCTCGCGAGGAAACTACAGTTCAGCCTACTGAACATAACCACCATTCATTTTACTCTCACGACGGAAGATGAGAGAAAAACCCTGGCTGGACTAGGTCCCAGACGTAGTCTGAGTGAATGTTAGCTACTTGTGGGTACAGTCTACGCTGGGCAGAAGCAGGGAACCATCATGCCCCCTTCATTAGGCTGTGTTCATGCTTAGCGACAGCGACCACCAGCGTTTACGCAGCGTCACGAAAGTATGGATTTGAGCGGGGGACCAGCAACGTCCACAAGCTCCGCTCATCGGCAAGCAGCGATCCACCAGTAGGTTCCCCAGCGTTCGCTAGTGACGAGCAGCGTCTAAGAGGGTACGGAAAGTATATGCATCAGTCTACCGACCACGCGCCACCAGCGTCTACCAGCGCGATCAGGAGGGAGAGCATGGGCGAGACAGGGAGGGTTAGCAGAAGGGAGAGACCGGCGAATAGGAAGGTATCTTGCACCCTCCCCATTCTCTCACACTCTACTACGACGTAACGCCCAGCTGTCGGTGATAGACGCGGTGGACGTGCCGTGAACGCTGCTGGTCGCTAGATCGACACCTATACTTCCCTAGCCCTCTAGACGCTGCTTGTCACTGGCGGCCGCTGATGGACGCTACCGCAAAGTATGAACACAGCCTAGTGCCATCTGTTTTACAGTTTCGAAGCGAGAAATGCGTTCAACGGAATTCAGGATGGCCTCTCTGTCTCCGCCCAGTGGATTAACATACACCCTTACCTAAGAATTGGTCAAAAACTCGCGCCACAAAGCGCTGTTGTTATGCCCTACGTATTAGTTGTGGTGGAAAGTTTTGTCACATTTTTTCGAACTAGGCTTTCTTTTTATAGAGAGGCGTAAAGATCAAAATTATACAGCAATGTCATTGCGGAATCCCTGCCAGTTTTCGAGCACTTCGTGGATGCCATCGCTTCACAATGGAGGCTGGCACGACGCAATGTTGGACATCATCTCAATGTTGACTTGGGCTCGAGTCGTGGAGGTTTTCTCGGCCATATAACGGTTATGTCCGAGAGGTAACTAGCAGTTAGAATGAGCAATGTCTGGGGTACACCGGTGCAGGGGGAGAGCCATCCAGCTCTTTTGCATGAAGTTCGGCTCGAACTTTTTTGGACAGAGGGGGCTGCACCATCACGTTGAAGACGGACTGTGCGGACGAATTTTCCCTCTGATCGACGATTCGCCTCAGCTCTCGTAGCTGCTTTGCATACGGATCGACCAAGGACGCAGCTTCTTCGTCCAGCAGTTTACCGACCCACAGCTCCCTCAGGCTAAGTTCACAGGTATACCCAAACCTCACTTCGTCATTCAAACTGTAGGCTGCGGCTCTGAAGCTTTAGCGTCGTGGAAGGTTGTCTAATAATCGTAGACATCGTCCTTATGCAGCTCCATTATTTCGGCATCAACAGCTGTCATGCTGGCGCCAGGGCGGTAGAAGAAAGAGTTTGAGGAAGCGCTTGGAGGGGTCGGTGCCAAAGGTAGCGGATAACATTCTTGTTCATATTGCACGAATAAGGAGAGAGCAGGAGTCAAGTCAGTGATCCAATAGAAAGACAATTCTTCTTTGATGTATAAGTGCTCACATTACCGGTTAACGCTCTTCAGGTAATTAGCAAATATTTTGGGTTCAAAAATATATGACAGAACTTTCCCGCCAACCTAATAATCATGTTTCGTTAAGACTAGCTGGCGGAAAGGAGCGATAACGCTTCTGTGCAGTCATGTGTTTATTAGGAAAAGTGACCCCAGGAACAGCCCGTGCTGATCGAATGGGCGGAGGAACCTAGTATATCTTGTGCAACTCCCTTAACTGACCCACGACACAGATCCTCTCATAAGCGTCTCAGTGAATTGAAAAAAAAAAAAAAAAATTGGGCGTACCGCTTCAGGTAGGCGCAAGTGTTTGACTGTCTCTCGCCACAGGTCTAGCATGGACTGCTGCTATAAGGGTCGGAGGTTCTTCAATGGTGACAAGTGCTAATAAAAGCTGGTAAAGTCAGTATAAGAAGTAGCATCCCTAATATTGGAACAGGAGGGCCTTGAGCCAGAGCTGTACAGTTCTATAAGG